ATTTCCTAAAGTACATGAGCTCATGTTCCCGTTTCCTTGATAAATCTCAAGGCAGAATCCTATGTGGGTTTAGACAATTTGAAAAGACCTACAACTCTCAGCATTCCTATGCTGGATGGGGAATGCTGGAAGTTGTAGGGCATTTTTGACTGTCTAAATCTGCATAGGATTGTGTCCTTAGATTGCTGTCAAAAGGGGTTGTTTTTAATCACTGACAAGACGATCTGTGAACTTGTCAGAGGAACAGAAGCCATGGTTAAACTTGCTGATGTGGGATATTTTACTGAATCCAGAGCTGTTTGGGATCCTCATTCTTATCCATAGGATTTGGGGCTTCCAAAATTTCAATTAGCTCCCGAGCTGACGGACAGAAAGTGTGTTTGGTCATAATGGGTTTGCACCCTCTAATAGCAAACTCAGCTGGTTCACTGCCAGCCAGATGCCGCTGCAAAACAGGGAGGCATCTCTCAACAGTATTCAGAGGCGCACAGACTTACAAAGCAACCGGTCAGATATTCCTGCCAGAAACCTGAACACAAACGCTCCAGCTTTGTGTGTTTCTATGTGCTCTGGCTAAGAGAAACTTGCCAAGTACAAATCAATGTGACCTGATGCACCAGACCAGAGAGAGGAATTTTCATGAGTTTAATATGAGAGAACTTTCAGATTCGGAGAGCCCATGTGGTGCAGCGGTTCAGGAGGGGAATTCAAGCCCACGCTGGGTCATGAAGTTCAGTGGGTGACTTTGGGCCAGGCGCTTGCTCTCAGCAAAACCTACCTCACAGGGTGGTTACAAGGAAAGAGGAAGGGGGGGGGGTGTACACCACCTGGCACACCTTAGAGGAAAAGGCAGGATATAAAACAAATGAAGAAATAAATTTTAAAAAGTCCCAAAGGGAAATGATGTCCATGCACATTTCATTCAAAACAGAGTATTAATTTTCCTACTACATTCTCATAGAAGCCTCTCTTAATCTGCCTCTGTTTCCAACACCTCATTTACATGGTGCTGAATCCCCCCCCCCATCCTACTCTTTGGGAAAGATGTTAATTGCTGGACGAATTCTCTTGCTAGAGAGCACTAGCAGACCTATACTATAATTTGTGGAGTTGTTGCTGGCCATGGTTTCTAACTGTTCCTGATGCCTCCTCCTCCTATGACAGAGACTAAAGGGGAGAGCAGCTCAGGGTCTTAAGAGCAAACATGGCAGGGTGGATACTTGCCAATTTGCCTGACTCCTCATCTGTCAGGGCTTGGCCACAGGTAGCCATCCGAGCAATCCAGCAGCTCATCCAGTTGACATGACTCCTGAACAAGTCAGGGCCAAAGGACACATCCAGACACCAGTGTGGTGTAGTGGTTAGAGCATTGGACTGGGGTACACTTACACTAGGGTAGACATCAGGAAACAGATCCCCTGTAACAGCACTGCCATCGATTCCATCCTCCTCCCCTCCTCTTGTGGGCTTACCCAGCAGCGCAACTCGTTTCCTGTCAGAGCTAAGTGACTTCCATTTTGAATTTCCCATAATGCAATGCTTTGCGTCACATTATGACCAACAAAAACAGCTGCCTAATATTGGCTGTTGCAGCTGCAACTACTACTACTACTACATTGGATTTATATTCTGCCTGTGAGGAATCCAAGACAACTGCATTTTATCCTTGTGGCAACAAACCCATGAGGTTCAGCTAAGTCAGCGGCCCAAAGTCACCCAGTGAGCTTCATGGCTCAGTAGCAACTAGCAACCCATTCTCCCAGGCCCCCAGTCCACACTGGAGCTCACACTGGGGAGCCCCTGGACTCCCACATGGAGCCCCACCACTTAAGGGCACAGTAGGTGGCAGACCCCACGGGTAAGGGGGCAAGCGTCAGCAACAGTACTCCAAGAGCCATTGCTAGCCCTGCCTTTCTACATGGTGTGTCCATGAGAGTGTTTGGCCAACTACCTTTGGATATATTTCTTTGGGCTGGCAGTATGGTGTACCTTTCAAAAAGTCAGTGCTCAGCATGTCAGCTTCCAAGGACGGTCCATTAATTCAGGCAGATGCATTGATCCTACCAAGCAGCCAAGCCGGCAGTTTCATCCCTCCCGAAGGCAGGTCTCTTGTAAAGCTGTGTGCCATCAGGTTCTCTTCAATGCACGGTGACCCTATGAATGACAGTCCTCCAGAATGTCCGGGCTGTGGCTTCCTTTGTGGAGTCAAGCCATCCCATATTTGGTCTTCGATTTCATCTTCTGCCGTCAACTTTCCCTACATGTTTGTCTTCATCCGTGAGTCTTGCATTCTAAAGAATGTGTCCAAGACATGACTGTCTCAGTTTTGCCATGTTTGCTTCTCAAGAAGCTCTGGCTTGATTTGATCTAGGACTCACTTCTTCATCTTTCTGTCAGTCCAGGGTATTCACAAAGCTTTCATAAATTCACTAGGTTCTAAAAGCCTATTAAAGTCCCCTCCCGCCTCCACTCAAGTACTTCGTGACGGGGTAGCTCACAACACTGAGAGCCAGTGTGGTGTGGTGGTTCAGAGCATGGGACTGGGACTCAGACGATCTGGGTTCTAGTCCCTACTCAGCCATGGAGCCAAATGCGTGATTTTGGGCCAGTCACAGACTCTCAGCCCAACCTTCCTCACAGGGTTGTTGTTGTGGGGAGAAGATGGAGGAGGAGAATGATGTAAGCTGCCTTGAGCCCTTTGTAGGAAAAAGGCAGGATGTAAATCGATAAATAAATAAATAAAAGACTATCTCACCCTTAAAAAATCTCTCTCTACCACCACCCCCGGTTGTTGCAGGGATGGCAGCTAAGCACGGAAGGAACACGGGACCCTGAGCGAGGGAGCGGAGGGCATCTAATCAGGAGGTGCCGGTGCCAGCGCTGTGCTCCTGTGAGCCATGGCTCCACTGCACCAGCGGTTTGCACATGAATGCGTCTGGGTGCGCACGGGGCGATGCAGGGATGGCTGGGCAGCTGCACCTTTAGTTGTTAAGTGAGACATCCTTCTGCTGTTGCCGTGGCAATGTGAAGCCAGGAATACCCACCTTGGATAAGAGCAAGGCAAAGCCTCAGCCAACATGTCTCTAGGCATAGCTGTCATCTTCCGTAAGAAGCAAGCAGTGTTCTCCCAAGACGAGGCTTCCAGATCGCCAATGATTAAGTAACGAACTGTTGAGATCCCTTCTTTTTCTCTTTTCTCTGTCCTCCCAAACTAGGGTTGCTCCAGGACAGCTAACAGCCCCCTGCTCCCATCCACAGCCTCTCTGCTGCCAAGGCGAACTGGCACAGAGCCAACCACACAGCCCCGCTTGAGCACCCAAATCAGTCTCACTTCTGCTGCATTTATAGATCTGAATCTTCACAAAGCAGTCCTCCTTTGATGTGCTCTGTTTCAACTTTATTCCACAAGTCTTGGGGGCTGCTCAGAAAGGATGTGTGTTTTTTTCCCCTTCTACCCTTTCTCCTTTCTAACTTTAACTCTATGTATTAAGGGGGAGATATGGGGGAGGAACTGGTGGTGGTGAGAAGTGACTTGAGATGGAAGGGAGGAAAACCAGGAAGAAGTATGAAAAAAGAGGCTCAGAAAACAAGTAACGTTTGTGGAGCTTGGTTATTGCTCCAAGTTTTCTGGCAATTCCCACTGCTGTTGTGCTTCAGCTATTAGGTGGTATAGAAATATGATGAATAATAATTATTATTCTTGGAAAACAAAATGTCGAAGTGAATGCCATCTGAGTGGGATGGTGTGAATTGTTGTCCTGTGACAGCAGGGGTGGGACCTGATGGCCTTCATGGCCCCGTCCAACTCTACTGTTCTATGATTCTATCATTCTGTGGAACGGCTGTGTTGGGACGATCAGCAAATTTGATCATGTTTACTCAGGACTCAATCAAGAACGGGGCCTTTCCTTCCTCCCGGCATGAGCATGCCCATTCTAGCAGCGCTGTCACAGCAGCCCTTGCCCATAGCTCTCTCTGTGGAAACACCGCTGTTCCAAGCACCGAGTCTAGGGGCGCACTCGCTTTGCTAATGCCGCACCTCGCTGTGACTGATACGGTCGGTGGTACCTACCCGAGTTCCTTTCGCTCCTTCGGATTTTGCTTTATTGGCACTGAAAGCATCGGGAGCGGGGCAGGAAAGGCCAGGATAGGGAGCTCGGGCAGAGAGGGAGGAATAACCCAAGGCGATCGGAACTGGAGTCGCGACGGGACTGGCCAGAGTAGCGGCGCCCGCTGTCCGCGCACCCCAGCGGAGCGAGTAAGGCGGCCGGGCAGGCCGTCGGACTGCTCTCCGTTGCGGGGCGCAACGCTCAAGGCGCCGTTCCCCGGTCGCAGCCCCAGCCTTCTAGCTGTCGAAGACCGGAGAGCGTTATACACCGCTTTTGAAAAGGTCTCTACCGAAGTCTAAGGCACTTTGAAGACCAAAGGCCGCTGAAGAGGATGGAAATCCTGAATGTTGTTTAGTGTTGTTCTGTTCGTTTGCTTGTTTTAAGGAGGGACGGGAGTGTTAGAAAAAAGGTATTGCAGTTGCTTTGGACGGTGAGTAAATTCCGAAGGGGATCGGGCAGCGGAGGCAGCCTCATTTTTGTTGGAAAGCTGGGAATAAGAAATGCCCCGGATTGGTGGGGGTCCTTGCAGAGGAAGGGGCAGCTCTGCAGAAAGCCCTTCTCGACGCCGGCGCCGCGGCGGGGCGGGGCGGGGCGGGGCGGGGGGGCCGCGAGGGAGCGGTGCCGGGGCGTGCTCCGTCTCCATCCCGGCCTCCTGCGCCTTTAAGGGCTCCTCCTCTGAGCAGTGCCCACCGACGGGGAGGGCGCCGGCCCCGCCGAGGCGTCCGCAGTCTTCCCCGGAGCATGGGCCGAGCGGACGCGCCGGGGGCAGGGGCGGCCCGCTGCCCAGCGCGCATGGAGGACGCGCTGCGGCCGCGAAAGGCGGCCCCTTCGGATTAAAGCCGTCGGAGGCAGGCTCCCGAGGCTCGCTGCTGCCGCGCCTTGCCCGCGGCCATGGCTCCTGCTTGGCCCCCCAACGGGACGTGGCCGGGCGACGGGGCGTCCGGCAACGGCAGCGGCGATTGTTCGTGGGCGCTTTGCAGCCTGGGCCGGCAGGGGGCGCTCGGCGCCGCCCTCAGCCTGGCCGTGCTGGTGACGGTGGCCGGCAACCTGCTGGTGGTCGTGGCCATCGCCAGGACGCCCCGCCTGCAGACCATGACCAACCTTTTCATCACCTCGCTGGCCTGCGCGGATCTCATCATGGGCCTGCTGGTGGTACCGCCGGGGGCCACGCTGGTGCTGAGCGGCCGCTGGCCCTATGGCACCACCGCCTGCGAGCTGTGGACCTCGCTGGATGTGCTCTGCGTGACAGCGAGCATCGAGACCCTGTGCGCCATCGCTGTGGACCGCTACCTGGCCATCACGGCCCCCCTGCAGTACGAGGTACTGGTGACCAAGGCCAGAGCCCGGGGTGTGGTGTGCTTGGTCTGGGCCGTGGCGGCCTTCATCTCCTTCCTGCCCATCATGAACCACTGGTGGCGCGACGGGGCTGATGCCGAGGCCCTGCGCTGCTACCAGGACCCGCAGTGCTGTGACTTCGTCACCAATATGCCCTACGCCATCCTGTCTTCCATCGTCTCCTTCTATGTGCCTCTGCTGGTCATGGTCTTCGTTTACGCCCGGGTCTTTGCTGTGGCCACCCGGCAGTTGCACGTCATTGAGAAGGACAAGGGCAGGTTCTTGCCAGATGCCGCCAAAGGCTCTCGGCGGAGAAGGCCCTCCCGCCTCCTGCTGGCCATCAAGGAGCACAAGGCCCTCAAGACCTTGGGCATCATCATGGGGATCTTCACCCTCTGCTGGCTGCCCTTCTTCGTGGCCAACGTCATCAAGGTTTTTGCCCGGTCCCTTGTCCCTGACCAGCTCTTTCGCTTCTTCAACTGGCTGGGCTATGTCAACTCAGCCTTCAACCCCATCATCTACTGCCGCAGCCCCGACTTCAGGTGTGCTTTCAAGAAGCTGCTGTGCTGTCCCCGGAGCACCAGTCGCTGCCTCCACACTGTCCCCCGGGACATGCACAGGTGGCCCTGTGCCTTCCGTCCCCGGGCCCTGTCGGAGAAGGACAGCAAGCCCATTGCAACAGTGGCCAGAGAGGAAGATGAGGAGGAGGAGGAGGAGGAGGAGGAAGAGGAGGTGGGCACTGGCAGTACCAGCAGTGGCTCCAGCAGCAGGACTGGGGAAGCCAAGCTCTCCTGCCTCACCAGCAATGGACACAGCGGGACACAGCGTCCACTGGGTGAAGTCCAGGTCCAAGGCACTCAGATCACCTTGTGCCCACAGCTGGAAGAGTAGGTGTCAGGAATTTACCTGGGGGACAAGAGACAGCCAGCGAGAGGTTCTTTGTTGGCCCTAAATATGTTTCTTCTAGTATGCTCTCCATTTGCTCTCCATTTCTTGTCCTTCAGTGTTAAATGAGATAGTGGGGGAGGGGGGATGACAGACAGGGGAAGACCACTGGAAGGGACCTGCTCTATCCTGAGGTGCAAGCCTGCACGTCTTTACATGGAAGTAAGTTTCTGCTCTCTTGCATGGATGCTGTCTGGTAAGTATGTCAAAGCTACAGCAGTAGCCATCTCCCTGCCAGGACTCATGGTCAGTGAACTAGACAAAAGCTGTATCAGCTATTCTGCTCTTATAGGGTAGGATGCCATAGCCCGGTGGAAGAGCAACCGCCTTGCTCATGCAGGGGCCCAGGTTTGGTCCCCAGTGCCCCAAAAGTCCATGGGACAGTCAGTGGCAAAGGATCCCCGGTTTCAGCCCTGCAGAATCATTGCCAGGCAGAACAGGCAATGTGGTCCAAACTGGGCCAAAGCAGCTCCCTCTGTTTCCCACCAGCTGCAGCAATTCACGGAGCTGCAAACCCTGTTTAATTTTTCTCTCCACTTTTCTTTTTGGACCTGAAACTTTTCTGACAATTGGTGTGGGACTTGCTTGTTGGTCTCTTGCCCTCTCTGCCAAGATCACTGACCTGCAGAAAGCCCGTTTTCAGAAATGGCAGAACTGTGCCAAAAGGGTTAGAGACCCAAGTGCAACACCTGCCCCCAGGCCGGAAAATTGGTGTGCCCAAATTTCTGCATTGAATGAGAAATTTTCAATGGAAAATGGTCCCCACCACCCAAATCACCATCTTTCTATGACTGTGTGAGGTGATGGCAAGAACTGACTTCCCAGATTGACTTTGGACCCATCCTTAACAGAAGGGAATGCCTGGAGCAGGCAATGTGTAGGTAAGATGCTATTCAGCCTTCTTGGTACCCTCCAGATGGCTGGGGATCATGGGAACTGTAGTCCAAGCCATATGGATGGCACTAGATGGGGGGAGGCCATGCTAAGCTATGCATACTGTACAGAAGAGAGATTATTCTTCTGTAAGAGTTAATGGTGTGCAGAAGAACCACAAACCATGATGGAGCATTGGTAGAACCATCGAATTGCAAAAAAGGCACAGTGATGTTTGGTTGGATGGCTCCAGATGTTAATGAACTACAGATCCTGTTGAACCTGACCATTGGCCTTACTGGTGGGAGGTGTAGTCCCAGAAGTCTGTAGGGCACCAGGTTGGGGAAAAAGTCTGGTGTGTTTTCTCCTTGTTTGACCTTCACTTTGCTTCTCGGCAGTTCTCATTCTCTGGTTATGTTCTTTCTCTGTTCCTCATGTTCTTTTAGAGAAACAGAAAAGCCCCATCAGTGCAAAAACAATTTGGTGAAAGGGAGGACTGAGAAGCGTAAGGAGAATCACTAAATCTTTCATGCAAATATGTATCTCAGAATCCCAATACCATTTTTTTAAAGGAAACGAAAGGAAAGGGGATCAGGGAGGGGAGGTGTGGAATGAAGAAGCTGGTGATGTTTACCCGCTCACTGTTTTGCTCCCCAAATTGCAAGTCCCCCTTCGGACATGCCTGACTTTACAGGGTTCCAAACGCACATTTGCACGAGCGAGCAGCAAATGGATTCTCACAGGTTAGTCCCTCACAGGTGTAACACGAGGCAACAATATCAAGATACCATATATTCTTGTTCACTTGCTTTGCATGAAGCCACAATTCCACAGTTGTGGGAATGCAGGTTTGTGGTAGCCCCTAGATATTCTATTGCAGGATTCTTTAAGCAGAAATCCAATGCATGTTTAGACAGAAAAAGTCTTACAACTCCCAGCATGCTGGCCCTAGAACTGAGTCCTAAGCATCCACTGGTAGGAATCTCCCGGGTGCTCTCCATCTAACTCATGCAACTGATCTTGGGGCCACTGTACTTCTGGAGGGTAACAGTTCACAGTTCTGTGTTTTTAGTTACTGCCAAGTTAGTTGCTCACCCTTTGCTGAAATTGGTGGAGGTCAAAAAGAGATCTGTGGCGGCAGCCAGTTTTGGCATCCTGTCCTGCTCTCTCCATCAGTTCTGGAACAGATTGGGAGAAGTACAAACTGCATTCCTGCATTCCGCCTCCCTCACTTGCAGGATGCGCCATTCTGTTCTGCCTTGTTTTGCAACCTCCACCTCCCCTCAACAAATTAATGAGCATTCTGTGGTCAGTGAGCATGCCTGGTCTTCATTGGGCTGATTTGGGTGGAGGGGGGGAGGTAGATCTCCCACACAGATGCGCACACTTCCTAAAGATCTTTCCCCTTGAAGATTTCTTGTACTTCTGCAAATGTTTGATTCCTCCTGCATACACATGGGTGATGAAGTTTTGCTGCACTCACCCCTGAGCTTCAGATTTCAATCAAAACCCCTTATGCTCAGAGGCAATGCACCTCAAAATTGCTTCTTACCAAGTGCAAACGAGTGAAGTGTTACTTGAAGCCTTGTGTATGGGTTAACCAGAATCATCTGGCTAGCTGCTGTTGGGAAAACATACTTCATTAAATAGACCTTGGTCTGATGGATTAGGGCTCTTCTTGTGTTATTAGGCATGCATCTGAGAAGTTTATTGTGTCAAGAAGCAGCATGCTGCCTGCTTTACAAGCAGGATGCCCCTGGTTCAATGCCCAGCATTTTCCATTTGAAGCACCTTTCCCTTGAGTTCTTTTATTTGCTCCTCGTCAATTTTTAGGTCAGTGCCAAACACCTGGCTGTCCTTGTGCAACTGGCTATCATTTTGAGTCTCCTCCTCTCCTCTCCTCTCCTCTCCTCTCCTCTCCTCTCCTCTTTTCATGTCAATTCCATGGTACACACTGGTCATCAGTTGTTGGGTCCTTGCCTCCATTTCCAAAGGGACCCTATTCCCCATGAATGGAGCACTCTCCCATTCTCTTCATTAAACCATTTCTGCATTCTGCTAGTATGACAGGATTCCTTCCATCCTGGATTCCATCCTGTTCTTTTCCCTTGGCTTCATTCTGCACTGTGCTGCATTCCATCCACATTCCAGGTCCGTAGCATCATAGAATTTTAACATCAGAGCTTCTCTAGCCCAGCCCCCTCTATTGAAAGATACAACTACAGCATCCGGACAAATGGACCAGCTCCTCCTGAGGTAGCCCATTGTAATGCCCAGCAGCTCTTTCCTTGCGAAAAGTTCTCCTAATGTTGCACTGAAATCCAGTTCCCTGAAATTTCCACTCATGAGTTCCAGTCCTGGCCTCTGGAGCAATAGAGAATGAGTCTGCCCCGTCTTTGGCATGATGGCCTTTCATCTATTTGAGGGCTGTTATGATGTTTCCCTTCTCCCAGCTTAACAGCTCTTTCAGCCATTCCTCATAGGGCTTGGTTTCCTGGAGAATTTCCATCAAGTTGATGAGCTAAGCATGCAGTTTTCTGCCACTTTTGAGTATGAAGTTGTCCACATCTTTATCTGGCCAGGGCGACTTCTTTTCTTTTTCTTTTCTTTTCTTTTCTTTTCTTTTCTTTTCTTTAACTTTTCTTTTATAACTTCTTTTATATCGTTTGTATTTTTTATTTATTTTATATTATTAATTTTAATTTTATATTGTTATTTTTATATTATATTTATTTTATTGTGTTGTAAGCCGCCCCGAGGCTTCGGCAAGGGGCGGCATAGAAATGTTCTAATCATCATCATCATCATCATCATCATCATCATCATCAGTTCCCTCCACGAAATTCCATCTACCTGCTGAGCACTCAGTGATACTGATGTGCATTGCCAAGCAGGATCTTGATCCCAGGAGTGACTGCAGCACTCTTATTTGCATACAGCATTGTAGGGGATCACACCCATTCCTGCACACTGCGCAAACACCAGGCAGCACAGACTGGAGTCAGTCAGTTGCGCATTCACATTAAGTCTACCACTTCTTCTTTGGCAGTATTTTAGAAAACTGTAAAGGTGATGCCTATGAAGGGAAAGACTCGGATGAACTGGAAGCTCTGCCAAACAATGCATGCATGGCGCTCCGTTCAAAATCTGGGAATACATTTAGAGGAAAAGTAGGTTTCATTCTGCTTCAGAAAAAAAAGGCAGGGTAGCTTTGGAACTCTGAAATCTGGTGAGAGGTTTAGATGGAGAACATTTTGGAAATGTCTGTTCTTCCACCAACTGCAGCATCAGCCTGATTTGGCGCTTCCAACCAGCTGTCTGCTGTGGTCTTCAGGGAACTGAAGGTTCCTTGACTATATTTTCATACTAGTTGGTAGATGAAGCCTGCGTCCCTTCAGCTCCTGCCCTTTCCTCCATCAGCACAAAGCCTCTCCCCCAGTACAGCCACTCCAGATCCAGACTGGCCCCTCTGCTTCCCCAGCTCCTCCATTAAATTGTAAAGCACATTTATGCTAAGTAGGGCCTTGAATATTGGTGGCAGTGCTAACTAGGCCATGTGTTGGCTGAATACAGAATATCATGTCATTGATTCTAAGGGAGCCATTTCAGGCTAGCAAGAAGCACAAACATCTGATGCTTGGAGAGTGCTTCTTAATAAAACTCCAAGTGGTACCCAGATGAGACACAGGACAGTGGAATTGCGTTGCTTTCTGCATCAGAAAAAAAGGACCAGATAATCTGAAACTCCAACATTATTTTGGAAGTGTCCCTACTCTTCCCTGAGAAGTTTCTTCTCAAGATCATATCTCTTTGGCATATCTCTTCCTAAACCATTCCAGCAAGCTGCTCATAAGCTCAGGTCTTTCTTGTGTGCTTCATGTAGGCATCTGTCTGGCCACAATGGCAACAGGATGCTAGGTAAGATACGCCCTTGTTCTGATTCAGCAGGGTCACCTTCTGTTCTTATTTTTTTAATAAGTTTTATTTGAAATTATAATCCTAAAAACAAAGAAAAACTAAAAACAACATCAATCATCAAAAATATCGGGCCTGCTGGGTCAGCTCCCACATTTTTTTTCCATTTATGACAGCTGAAAAACATATTTAAATCTATACGAAGTCCCGTTTCTCTAGCCAATAATAAAAAGAGAGGTCACCTTCTGTTCTTATGGTCCCCAGCACAGCGTCACTGCCACAGGTTGGCTTTGCTGGGCGCCTGCCAAGGCCTATCAGTCACCTGGGGGCTGACAGCACATCCTTACTGCCGTCTTGTCCTGTGCTTTCTCCTCTTTGCCGCTGCTGTGTATTTTCCTGCCTTTTCCAAGTGACAGATCTCTGAGGGGAAAAAAGAGGAGCAGCTTTCCTCTCCCTCCGGGAGGTGCTGTGGACCGGATCCTGACAGTAGCACCCGGGGCAGGGGAGGAGGCAGGCATACATGGAGAGAGGGCCCTTTGAATCCTTCTGATTTACCCTGCCCTTCCCCTTCGAACCCTTTTTTGCCATCTCTCCCTGCCCTCTTGCAGATGTGTCGATGCCGTTTGCCACCACCGTTTGCCACCAATGTGCTTTTCTGCACCAGCAGACACGTCGTTTAGCCCTTGATAGTCTCAGATCTACAATTCTCTTAACACAGTGGAGTGTTCCATGTGCAGACTTCCTCTGCCCCATCAGAAACAGAGGCCTGTGCTACCCTTTCCAGGTTACATTTTACGTGCATGAATTCCAGTGAAAAGAAGCTCTTGGACCCAGAATTGTGGGACCCCAGGTTTGCTGGGTTTGGCCCATGGATCTAAAATACTGCACCCCAGTCTAGCAGTTGGCCAGGAATGGCCTGCCCAGACTGTCTGAGCTGCTCCAGGGAAATGCTGTTGACTTAGGTTGGTGGCTGATAGGCCATTAACATGGTACAAGAGGCAAGGAACCAGTTTTGGTGATTTTGGGGTGGTTGTTGACATACTTCCAAAAAGGTGGCCTCAGATCTGTAGGAAATGTACATATACTGTTGGATATACAGAGATGGCTATAATTTAATGCAGGGCTCACTTCTCTCCTTTCCTGTGATTCTTGATCATAGAGGTTGGACTGGACAGCCTTTCAAACAGAGAATCGACCTCTGTGATATAGGACACACGTTCCCCCACTTACAGGGGCTGGATCCTTGACATCAGAAGCAAATGCTCTGCCTTTGCGTCAAGGGCCTCTGCAGCGATGCCTCCGTCCTGCCTTGCCCTTCCCTTTCCCAGTAGCTGCGTTTTGCCCCCTGGGTGTACCAGGCAGCTCCATACGCAGCCCTTCCCTGCTTCTGCTGCCCATTTCTCTCAATTACATCCCACTTCCCGGGAGAGGGGTGCGTGGTGATGCACAGTGATCACCATGCCGGGCTCAGACTGAGGGATTTGGATTCCAACCCCCATCTAGCCATGGCGCCCGCTGGGTGAGTTTGGGCCAGCCACTGACTCCCAGCCTCATCTACCTTGCAGGCGTCTTCTGAGGATAAAATGGAGGAGGAGGAGGACTATGTAAGCTGCCTTAGGTTCTTTGTGAGAGGTGGGGGGATAAATGTAATTAACTGGTGAATAAAAAGTGATCCTGAGTGAAGACTTTCAGGCAGAATCATTTAGTAAGTCAAGTTCATATTCTGCTGAGATTAGTAGGGATTAGTAGCTGAAATTCACAAAGACCTTTGGGGAATGGATGCATGTGGTGCAATTATGCCCAAACTTTTCTCTTAAGGAGGGGTACTCTTAGAGTGGGGAGGGTAGATTGGACAGTCGTTAGGAAGCAAGATACCATGAAACCAAGAGCACAAAAATGTATATTGGATCTTTAGTTATATACAGCTTTGCACTTGCATGCACAGACGCGACACAATCAGCACAAACTGGAAGAAGGAAGTAACAGGGTGTTTCTGAGACACTCCATGGATTCTCATGGAAACCTTGAGTTGGAAGGGGCTTTATAGATCATCTCCTCCAATGTGCAGCTCAGTGCTGAACCCATTTTCAGGATGCAACTGCGGCATTCCTGAGGTTCAGCCTCTGCTTAATCAGGTTTTGTGAAGGAGAACTGTCACCTCCCAAGGCAGCCCACTTCACTGTTAGACAGGTCCTTCTGTGAGATTCTTCCTAATATGAGCTGCAATCCTCTTTCCTTCTAGTTCTTCTCCTGACCTCTGGAGTAGCAGAGAACAAGCCTGCCCAATCTTCTGTATGATGTCCCTAACCCTCATCCCCTCCTTACCCTAACTGGGGTGGGGTGGGGGGCATATAGGAGCTATCCAAGGTTACGAGCTTGTTTTGGAGTGGAGTTCAGCACCACAGATAGCTCCCATAAAGCTCAAAATTAAAGCTGCAATTGATAAGGAACTCAACTGACATAGCAATCACCAGCCTTCCCTGCAAATGTAGTCACACAGCAAACAAAACATTGTTGCGTGCACCCTGTTTTACGCTGAGCAGAGGAAATGTGCCAGACTAAAGAATGAGAGCGTGGAATGACAGTTTGAGTGGTTGCTGCACAGACAAATATGTTCTGACCAGAATTAAGCCTGCTGCTTTTTTTTTTTTTTTAAATAAAATGCATGTTCCAACAGGACCCAGTTCTGGTTGCTGAAAGAGATAAATAAGCATGACCAAGATGGGTAAATTAAATGGATTCTGTTGCTCTTGTCTTTAAAGATTCCCCACTGAAGAAGACAAAAACGAGGGACATGGAATGTGAACAGAGGAGGAAGCACAGAGAAAACTGTGAGTATCTTTTTGAAACTTGGATGGTTTAGTCAGAGATGGAAACTGTTTTATAAGTGACATAGCCAAGCTGCACCAACATTATCCCAGCTGTTCCCAACATTATGGCTGTCCGGAAACAACAGTTGGCTCTGTCTGCAGCTTACAGACCAAGAACTCAACATTCCTTGCTGTTGCTAAAATAGTGGGATGCAGGTGGGGAACTTGTGATTGTCCAGACATAATTGGATTATAACTACCATCATTTCTGACTATTGACCATGTTGACTGGGACAGATAAGAGTGGGAACCCAGAGAGTAAAATAGGCTGCCTTGGGAGGTGAGGTAGGCTGAGCATGGGAAAGTCTGGCTTAGGGTTACCAAGAGTACATTTTTAATGGAAGGATAGTGAGCCCAGTTCAGCTCTAGCCCAAAGAACTAGTTCCTAGGCTCAGCATTCTTTAATTATGTGTCTTTTGTACCAGTTTCTGGTTAGTGGATCTTGGGGTTCTAGTGAAAAAAGGAAGGAAGGAAGGAAGGAAGGAAGGCAGGAAGACCAAAATAGATCCTGCAGATCTGAGTCTACCTCAGAGTTAACTGGAGTTAACCAATTGAGAGCTAGTGTTGTATAGTGGTTAGAGACTTGGGCTGGGTCTTGGAAGATCTGGGTCCTAGTCACAACATGGGTCAAGAAGTTCCCTGAGTGGCTTTGGACCTGTCCCTGATCCTCAGCCTAACTACCTTACTGAGTTGCCATGAGGATAAAAATGGAGAGGACAAAGAACATTTAAGTCAGCTTAGGTTCCTTGCAAAATGAAAAAAAGGTGAAATATAAATGTAATAACAGTAAAAGAACCCCTTGACTTTTCTCTCAAGATTTCCAGAAATAGAACTGGTAATATTCTTAGACTGTAGGAAAAACAACTATCGTACAATCTCATAACCTTAAAAGAGCCCCAGTGCAGTCAACTACACTGTTTTTCAGAGGGCGCTTGATGGATCCGAGTGTTGCTATTAGCCCAAATTCTTAAGCTGGTGCTTGAGTTGCTGTGAGCACTGGAATGGACCCCACTCCCTATTTTTCCCCACTCCCTTCCTTGTAAAACATCAGAAGCAGCATCGTAAGGGCAGGAAAAACATCAGAAGGCTCTTCTGCAGCCAAGCTTACACAGAGAATTTTATCTTGACCGCATATCCACAGTAATCTTGCTTTTATGCTTCCAGGATGCAGAGGCCCATATTTGGACTTGGAAACATTCTTGGCTCTTAAAGCACTTAGCCCACAATTTGGTGTCTTCTAAAATGTTTCCTGCTGGGACTTTACTACACTTTTGCGGGTTGGAAAGGAATTCTTCAATTGCTAGTGACTCCCAAAGTGCCCCAAAGCTTGGCTTCTGGAGAATGAGTGGGAGCAATTATCTGGAAGTTTCTTCTGTGCAGGTTAGGCTCATTAGAGCCAGTACAACATACTGGTTAGAGTGGGGAAAACACAGGTTCTCCTTTGGCCGCTGAGCTCCCTCGAACAGCTTTTGCCCAGTCACTGACTTTTAGCCTAAACTATTTCAGAAGATAATTGTGATGATCAAATGGAGAAGAGGAGCAGGAATGCCCACTTGGGCTCCTGGAGGAAAGGTGGGACATCACTGTAACAAATAATCCTATTTGCATGGGTTAATTGCATTTTCTAAGCAAATTCTAAAAGTACCTATGTTGGGTTTTTTTGTCCCAATAGACCAAGAAATAAGAGTTAAAATATTTGAGGGGGGAAATGAATGAAAGCATACATAAGACATAATCCTGTGCATGTATAAACAGAAAAATGACTACAAATCCCAGCATGTCCTAGCTAGCCTGGCCAGGGAATGTTGAGAACTGTAGTACTTTTTCTATCTAAACATGCATTGGATTGCTTCTATAGCTTGATTTAAAGGCTACACTGTGCAGAACATTTTTAATTGGAATGCTTGTGAAAATGTAAAGAGGAGAGCATGCACTTCCCTTGTACAGCTTGAGAAAAACAGCAAAGGTACTGAATACTGCTGATGCATAAATAAATTTGTGCAACTCAAGGCACCTCATATTATGTACAGACAACCGTTCCTCTCTTTCAACAGAGTTCAGCTCTTCCTCTGAAGCTGTTGGGCACTTTTAGTTTCACTGTTACAAAATGAACTTCAGTGACCATCACATTTATTTATTTATTATTGCACATAGCAAGCCACATTGCTGAGTGTGTGTGGGAAGGCAAGGGCATATAGCTGAGAATAACCCTATTTGCAAATGCCTTTGCCACGTTCAAATGCTGTTGCAATTTGAGTGTTGGAGTGGAACTCAGGAAGTCTGGCTGCTGGTCCCACTTGTCCTTGGGACAAGTTCAGTGGGTGACACTGATGCTCAGTCTAGCCTACTTCTTGGGGTCGTTGTGAGGATGAGAGAGAAAGGAGGAGCAAAGCAGAGAGACTTTCTAAGGGGCAGGGTAGAAATCAAATTAAAAAATAAATAGAAGCACCATATAAGCACCTTGCTTTCCTTGCAAGAGGGATAAAAGCAGGGTATAAACGGAAAAGCTCAGCTTGTATGCTCTGACACTTGGTGGTTTTTTTATTTATTTTTATTTTCCGATTTATATCCTGCCTTTTTCCTACAAAGGGTTCAAGGCAGCTTACATCTCCTCCTCCATCTTATCCCCACAACAACAACCCTGTGAGGTAGATTGGGCTGAGAGTCCATGACTGGCCCAAAGTCACCCAGTTGGCTCCATGGCTGAGCGGGGACTAGAACCCAGATCGTCTGAGTCCCAGTCCCAGGCTCTTAACCACTACGCCACACTGGCCTGGCCCTCTTTGGCACACATCTGCCCTGTTTTTACAGACAAGCATCTTTCGCCCCTTCCTTCACTGAAGTGAACCAGGCGTCTCCTCTTAGACGTGCTTTTGTTTTCATTGGCTCAATATCTCATCTTGGGGTGGGGAGAGACCTTGGGGAAACCAGTTCTTCCCCTCCCCCCCCCCACGGGGAATCCAACTAGGCCCCTGGAGAATGGGTTACGCAATCAGTTCACACACCTGCTGATTGAATCCTGCTCTTGGTGTTTGTTTGCCTTTAATGAAACTTAAGCCTGGGTTGATTTGTCCATGACAAGCTGAATTGCTGTGCTGGATTAGGGCACTTTCCTTTTGATGAAAATTACTGTTCAGGAATCAAACGGTTGTTTCCCCGTTCACATGCCTTCTTGTTTTTGTACCTTTCAGTGCCGCAGGGGAAGAGCTGAACCTGAGTCGGTGCTGAGAACAACCTTGGTTCTTGTGAAGAAGAGCTTCTCACCTTGCACCAGTTTGTCCCTTTTGCATGTCCAACTGGGACCACCTGCTGTATCCTCCCTCTGGGGAGTAAAAGCGCTCCATCAATGGGGTTACTGTAGGGATGGCTATTTGGCTTGAGGAAGTATGGAAGCTGAATTCCAGAGCCATTGATACTAAGTTATCATCTATGTAAATCCAACAATGTGCTAACTACTGTACAAATCTGAGAAACTACCCTTGTTCCTTTAGCCCTGCTTTACCTCTTTGCCCTCCACCACATCCTGCCCCATCCTGGGATACCCAGTGCCATGGCTGGTTCTGATTTTCCATGGAACTCCTAGCAAGGAAGTACACGGCCTTTGTCAGCAGCGTACCACAAGTGTGATTGTGTGCCTGATGTGCCTGCAAGCGTACCTCTTTGCAGTTGACACAGGTATTTGGAAAAGCACACAGATTAGTTGTCCTTGGGGGATGGAAGCATTGTGGAAAGGGAATGGCCACCTTAAAGCAAGCCATAACATTTAGGCTCAAGAAAGCTCTTCTTTCATACAGTCACACTCCTACAAGGGGACAGAGCAGTGAGGCAGGCAGTGGGAATCCCGTTAGAGTCCAACTACCTGCAGAGGGCCAGAACTCACTGCTTCCTGCTGGTGTGGGTGGCAAGAGAAAGTTTGCCCTGATTAATTTGCATGGTCAAGGTTCTACCAAGCCTGGATTTGCATGTGTTGAGTTTTTATATAGACACCTACCTGATACAGTGGTAAGTTCCACCATCTTCCTGTGTTTGCTGTGGTACATGTATCTCACATGCACCAAGAGGCTCTCACTGGCCTTTCAGTGCCAGAAGAGCCTTGTGGGTTGGAATGAACCACACCAGGCTTAGATCGGGGACCCATCTTCAGACTCAAGGGCCAAATATTGCCTGCCAGGGATCTCAGCTGGGCTCTCCAGGGTTCCCCAGAAGGACATCCCTCACCGCCATTTCCCTCATCCTATGATGGTTTGCCCACTTTGGTGCAAGGTCAAAATATCTCTCCAAAGCTTCAGCAACTGGGTAGCAAAAGGATAAGCTCAAATATTCTGGTATTTCAGTTCTACCCACTTCTGCCTATTCCCTCATCAATGAAAGGCACCCCCTTTCCTCCAATATTGAATTTAGCCCTTGAGCTAAATGAGGTTTCACTTAAATAGGGCAGTAGTCCAAGCACCAAATAAAACTTTCTGCCAATCATGCATTGCAGAGAGATCAGAATGCTTACACAAGTGTAAGCGAGCATGGCCACAATTTGCACTGGGACTCTGACCGTTTGGGAGCCAGGGATTTGATGGGGACATTTCTTAACACCCCTGTGGGGAGGAAATAATAGAATTTCAGGATGGAAATGGCATGGAGGAAGCTTAAAAGCCCCTCCTGAGTTGCAACAGGCCCAGTCTGAATCAGGGCCACCCGCATTTTTACTCAAGTAAGCAAGCAGAGCCTTCAGGTTGGAAATGTTGCGCTTTTCTGTTGGATTGCTGTCATACACTCATTTAATGATCAGGAGTGGGGAATGGCAATCCATGCTACAGTGAAATCCTGTGCCAGCCCTCCTTCTGTATCGTTCACCACTGGCACTGGAAGTAATTACTCAGATGCACTGAATTAATTCTTCCCAGCCTCTTCCATTCCAAAAGTCCACATGCAGTGGCTATTGGAGTCTGTCTCCTAAGGGGATAGTCTGTCTTTCAGTTGAACGACCAGTTGCAAAAGAGGACCAGGGCCCTGTATGCTTACCTTTTTTTAGTAGAGAAGGAAACGTTGCTATTTACTTCCGGCCATGCAGGAGCAAGCAAAACTGCTTCTGCATTTCCCTGCTCTGTGCAACTGTTAAGAGTCCCAGAAGTTCTGACTTGGTTTTATTAGGTCACATGATTCCCTAAGGCATTTGGCAGAATTTTAGGATGACTCGCAGTAGCTGCTTCATCTGTCAGACAGTATAAAGAAGGAACCAAATGATCTGTGGAATAGGATGCTTTTTGGACCATTGAAAAGATGCAGATACAAATTTGAATCCAAACTCCTCTCTTCACAGTTTGGATTTGTTGCTTTACAAACTCAATGCTCTGTTCAAAAATGGAATGAAAGAAAAAAACATCTTCCAAATCAGCACACTGGAAATTGTGATGATTTGAAAATTGGCATTGATTTCAGCACCCATTACAAGCCTCAGATGTGGCATCCATTCTCTTGAAAACACAGATTGGAGTGGACTTCTTTCTTGAAATTCATTTTCAATTCCATTCCCAATTCTGTTCATTAAAATGTATCAAAAACCCACAGCCTGATTCAAATGGAAAGGACTTGGAATGAATCCCATCATAATGCAAGCCAATTTGCATGTCAAAACTGTACAGTGTGCAACTTTGAATAGCCACCAAGTGCATGAATATTCCAATATGATCCATGATCAGATGATTGCCTGTCAGTCCTGGGGCAGAGACAAACTCTGTGTAAGCCCCCGAAGCACCTGCAGACTCTGCATGATCTACCTCAGAAGCCAGAACTCTGGAGCTCAACCAGAGTATAGCTCCATATCCATTTTCCTCCCAGTTTTGATTTTCATATTTTTATATGTTTGGGGAATAATCCCCTAGGACATGCCCTGGAAGACTCAGGGATTCACAAAGATGGGTTATGCCTGTCCGTGTTTCTGTTTGTCTGTATTCTGGGCCCTTCTAACCCACTGGCAACACAACAAGCCTGAAGCCCAATACCCTTCAGACAGGTTTTGTTGATGCTTGGTCCACAAACCCTGTGATTCTCTCCAGGTTGGACTACAACTCACATCAGCTCTGGCCAGCATGAGCTGGGTTTGTGGATGATGGGGATGAGTATTCAAAATATCTGGTAAGCTGCTGCAGAGTAGCAGCAGGAACTAAGGAGACGGTTCGCTCCTCTGGTTTTGGTCTGTGTTCTCTACATATGCAGTGTGCATTCATGACCCTGACTGTGGATGGCCACATCTTGGAGGTTATTTATATATACTGCATTCCGCATCCTCAGTGCTGACTACAAACAGTTGTGATAAAAAATAATGCTCCCAAATTTCTAAAAATGCTGAAAAAGTGCGAGTTTCAGCAGTGCCAGCTTAATCCACGTGCGTGCAGCAAATCCATTTTTGCTGAAATTGTCCGGTGTCCACAGTTAAGAGAGGTAGGAGTCGTGCCTGATGCTCTTATACAGGAGATGTTCAGGAGCCGTGCTCCACCAGGTGCCCAGCCACTGGTCTGGATTACTCAAGAGCCGGTGTGGTGTGGTGTTTACGGTGCTGGACTGGGATGCACAAGATCCGGGTTCTAGTCCTTACTCAGCCATGAAATTCATTGGATGCCTTTGGGCTAGTCACAGACTCTCAGCCTAACCTACCTAACAGGGTTGTTGTGAGGATAAAATGGAGGGGAGGAGAAACTTATAAGCCACCTCGCATTCCTTGCAGGAAGAAAAGTCATGCCGTAAATACAGTCGAGATACTGTATCTCTATTCCAAAATCCTCAGACTGGTCTGGCTGGGAGCAGCAGGGGTTGTGGTCCAACCTAGCAGCAGGTTGCTAGGCCGGGGCAACTGGCATTTTGGATTGTGCATTTGATCTTCTTTTGCTTCTCTCCCCTGCTGTGTGAGTTGATTCTTCAGAGAATTCCTGACATCTGTAAATAAATGAAAGCCCCCAAACTCTTGGGAGTGTTGAGAAATCTTATTTGCAGTCAAAAATGTGTTGAGAAATCTTATTTGCAGCTATAGCTTTGGGGAACATTGGCTTTATTTGCACTTTGAAAAGGAGCAATGAAACCAAGAGGCCATCAATGATGGTGTCTTCTTAAAAATAATCATTTGGTATACTGCAAAAAACACAAGGCAGTATCCCCAGGATACCGAAAGTCACCTCTCCCTGAACTTTCACTGTAACCTGATGCTTTTCTTCACAAGGAACACTGACACTAGCAATACAAAGTTCAGTCACACAGACAGACTTAGGACACAATGAGCAAATCAAATGCAAAACAGAGACAAAGACCAGGGGAGGAGGAGGAGGAAGCAGAAGTGGAGATGCAAGAACAGGGAAGACAACTTCTGAGTCACGGCTTTCATATCCCCTCACAAATCTAGGTTAACAATCAAACTGTTCCAGGAATGTCAACCAAATACTTGGATATTTTCCCACTTGCCTCTCATCTGTGTAAATGCTGCTCTTCCTTGCACAACCATGTCCAAGAGCGCTTCTGTGTGGGATTCATTTTATACTGAGCCTTTGGATTATTCCATGGCAGGGGTGCCATGGAATTCCTGACCAGTGGGCCAAACATGGCCTTCAGAAGGCCACCCCTGGTTCCACTCTCTTTCCCAACCACCGGCCCTTGGCCAGTTTCCCAGCTTTCTTAAGCTGCTCGTTCCCATTCCAAAAGATGAGGTGCTTCTCCTAAGGTTTTGTTACTGCCTGTAAGAGCTCTCCAAAATATGCCAGCATCTTGGTCCTCCTTCCCCCCGAAGCTGCTGAGAGCTTCTCTAAGATGGAATTCCATTGTTAGACTAGAAGAAGTCCAATATGCCGCTCAATGGAACCCTGACCAGAGATGAACAAACAGAGCTGCCTCGGCTCTTGACAACTACCCACTGATGATGGCTCATGCTTTGCTCTCAGTCCAACCCCTCAGTAGCACTCAGAACCTCGGATGGATTAAAGACTGGGGGTGGGGTGGGGTGGGGGGGTTACCCTGTCACAGCTCCATAGGAGCTGCTGCCATTGCAGCATCGCTCCAAGCTGTGCTAATTGCATATCAAATTGTGTTTTCATTTACTGATTCCGGCAGGGCCACAGATAAGGTAATCAAATGCAGAGTAGAAACAAAATATCGTAACTCGATCCACCCTTTCCTATATTGCACTGCTAGGGGTGCAATTATGAGGCCCTAGGGGAAGAAGAAAAGGACAGGTGCTGGGGCAAAGCTCTGTGAATTTCACAGGCATGTATCTTCGTTTCTTCTGCAAAAGGGCACGTGGAAGATATGCGCACGGTGATGCTCCAGATCAGCCTCCTAAGTGTCTTGGATGACAACTCCCATCACCCAAAGCATTGACCATTTGGAAGGCCTCAGGTTGGAGAGGGGAGCTTTACATTAACCTGCCAGCCAGTGGTGATATGGCAGGACCTGTCCCGGTTCAGTTTCCATTTGTGTGGGACAACAGGGATTGGAATGGTCAGGGAAACAGACTAGACTCAAAAAGAGAAGGCTGAAAATCCATCACTGCGCTTGTGAATTGCAGTTCAAGTAAGGCTCACATCCAAGGAGGAGAGGTAAAGAATTGGTGTTGTATTAGAGCCATTGATTAATGTATATAACTTTTCAGATAGATAAAAGCCAATGAGTAAAGGCCTGAAAAACCTGGTTCAGCTAAGAATGTATTTGCCTTACTGTAAGGATGTACAGGACACCCTTCAATGAAAACTTTAGAAGTCATCAGTGGTTATGAATAAAGCCATTTTCCCAGGGTGTTATCTGTGCTGCGATCCAATCCTCTAGATATCTACAGAACACATTTCCATACAAATGAGCCTTACTTTTAAGAACCTCAGTCTGTTGCAGCAAGAACAAGATATCTTGTAGCACATTTAAGACAGACAAGAATGTTAGAACACGACTTAAAAAGGCAGGACTGTACATCTTAGACAGTTTCTCTTTCATCCATGCTAAACCCAGCACACACGGCCTTTATGAAGCCCTGCCATCCCAGTAAGAATGATTTGCTGCCATCTGCTGGCCACGGAGATCTCTCCGATGGAAACCCAGGAATGAGCTGACTTCTGCTTGCCTTTCCTTCATTTTTTCCCCCACTGCTAACAAAGAAACGGGAAGCGAGTACCAATACTGCAAAGGGCTTACAATGCCCTTACTCTCTTATCCACAATCCCTGCCAATTAAGGTTGGCAGTGTTTGAAATGGCCCCTTAAGCTGTCGCTTGAATAGCAGTTGCCAACTTGGTGCAGGGCCAATGAACTGCCACACCCTGTCATGCCTGTCCTGGCTGGGATGGAAGGGAGTTATTGTCCAACAGATTTGGAGGGTACCAAGTTGGAGAAAGTTGTAAGTAAGGGGTAAAAGCGGTTAGAACTATGCATCTCATTCTGGTGGACTGGAAGACTATTAAAGGCACAAGAGCAGACCAGGTTAGCCTTTCTTTGGTTTGTTGGCAACCCTACAATAGATATATCTTCTTTTGTATAGATCCCCATGCAGAATAGGTGGAGAAAAAATAATCTAGTGGGCTTTCTGCTTCTGACCGGAAGGAAAAAAGAATTACTGGGGTCAGAAGCTAGCTGGTCGGGTACGGTGTGAACTCTGCGGCAGTGGTGTGTTTAGAACGAGAGATCTAGTAGCAAAGCTGAGAGTGATTAGTCATTTTTTCCACCAATATGAACATCTGTAAAAGAATAATTCTTTCCTTCAAGTGGCAACATCACCACTGTACAATTTTATCCTTGCTAAATATTTCTTATTTTTAAGAGTGGTGTTGAATGCAAAGCTTGTCCCGGCTTGCCTGCTACCTTCCTCTCACCTGGAAGCCCTTCCCTGTTTGCAGCTAGTTCTGTGAATACTTAGTGTGGCTGGAAAGGGAGGCCATGCAGGCTGAAAGGAGCCAGCAATTCTGTTTCCTGTGATGGTCTAATCAGGTACTAGCTCAGCCTTGGTTAAAAGATCCGAGAACTGCTGCTTTAAAACAAAGCTGGAATGCTTATAGCATGGCTGTAAAATGTTTTGCTGAGGTTCATCCATTTAGAGCGAGTCAGAGGAACTGAATAGATTACAAAAGGTGAGAAGAAATTAGCTTTTAAATCAAAGTTAAAGAACACTAACCTGATTTAAACTGCACATATGGAAGAATGTGCGATATATGCGTGGTATGTTTTAGGTACATATCAAACACCTATTTCTTTTGCTCAGGTCCTCCAAAACTGGTTTTTTTTTAACTTTTATGTTTTGAAATGTTTGGTTTAGTTTTGAAATGTTTGGTTTGAAATATTTTATTAGATGAGTTCTGTATTTATTATAATGCAATTTAACATATGACTTGCGAATTGCTTAGATATATCTTGTATAGACTGCTTAGTAAGCAGTATATAAATCAATTAAAAATCCTTTAAAGTGGGCAGGGATATGGGATATGATTCCAGATTTTGTGAAGGGTATAAGGATAAATTCTGGAGTGTTCTTATAGATTGTCATTTTAAATCTGCACTAATGCTAAAAGTATTTGGGTAAGGATTAAGCTTGGTTAGAAATCCTGTGGGAGAAAGACACATGGCAGTCTGTCTGAAATTTACAAAGTGCCGTTTGAGTCTGTTCTAGGGGTATTTTCTTCACAGTTTTGTGCAGTGGTATTTATTTGCTTTCTCATTGTCTTATCTGTATGAAGCACCTGTCTTAAATCTTGCTTAATGTTATGGATTACCTGGCTGGACTTGACATCTTTCTAATGGCTATTTTAACATATGTCAGTTTATTTGGCAACTATCTTTACTTACAGTTTTATGTATGGTACCTTTGGGACTGTTTGGGGTTTTGTTTTGTCCTGAAGACAATAAATACTTAAATCAAAACTTCTGCAGTTATGAGATAATATGTCACATTAGCACCCAAAGTGAACCGTTGCCTTTGTTTTGTGCCATCAGGTGATCTCTGCCTCAGTGAAGACCCTATAAATGAAAGCCCTCCGAAATTTCCCATCCATGCCAGCCCTGCTCAGCTCTTATAAATTCAAGACAATGGCTTCTTTTATGCAGTCAATCCATCACATATTTGGGAATTACCTTATATCTGGAGAAAACATTGTGACATTCCTTCCATTTCATAACATGCTAATTGCCCTGTTAGTTACTGTATGGATTTTTTTTCCCTTTTGGCATAGAGGTGTCTTCTACATTTACTACTCATGATGTTTTGTTTTGCAAAATAGACATTTTTTTTTTAAAATAGGATTTTCTAGAATTTCTAGAAAAAAAAATTCTTCGTAAGTTTTCAATGGCCATTTCCCTCATGATTATGCCCCTCCTGAAATTTAAAAGCACAGGGGAACAGGAAGCAGTAGTTCAGCTATCATCCTGCAAGAGGGCAACACCTTCCTGTCAATCAAATCCTTTCAAATAGTACTTTGTGGCTTTGTTTATGCAAGAGGAACTTATGAAAGCTGTAGCATATGAGGAGTACATTTTCTTTTCTGCAATTCTTCCTACCTCTATTGTTCTTCTTTTCTTAGATTTGTTCCCTCAATTTGTCACTGAAAAGGATGGACTCCTGTACCTTAACTTCTTTTTCTGCAGAAGAAAGACCAGCTGTTGTCTTTTGGGGTACGCTTGTGCATTGGGTATACAATTGGACATTCCCCAGGTCTAAAGGTGGTCTCATCCATTGAAGCTTGTGTTCTGAGCTTTATTGGATCTGTCCATGGTGCTGAACTCCCTCTCCAAATAGGTTCCCCACCCTGGAGCCCCAGAAATGGTACCTGGGGCACTCAGAACAAAAGCTGAAATGAATCAGGAGCCCCACTGGCAGAGGAGTCTCTTTTCCAGTGGCTAGATTCCTTCCAAGCCACTTATCACCTCGCAGTGTAGTGCAGTTGGTCTCTCTGTAGCATTGGAGGGCAGTAGCAACAAGTATTAAACAAGAGGGAGCACTGTGCCCCCTTTTGCTTCTTTCCCCCTCCCCAAGTTTTGCATGTCCAATGAGAATGCCTTTATTTAAAAAATGAGACTGGGAAACCTGTGGACTACCACTCCCGTCATCCTCATTCAGAGGCCATGCTGGGTGGAGTTCATAAAATTTGGAATCTTAACCACATCCGGAAGGCACAGATTTCCAACCCTTTCTAAAACACCCCAGTTCTGGGTGCTTTGAACATCATGTTCTGCTGAAAGTGTTGTGAGAAGAGGACCTTTTTATTGGACTTCAAAATTAAAATGCTCTCCCTCTCCTAGAATTGAATGGTATGAATTTTTGGTGCCAGGTGCCATTTGCTTTGTAGCCTTTACTACTTTAACTTTTCGCAAGGCAATCTTATATGCATCCGCTCAGAAAGAAGTCCTATGGGTAATGATCTGTGCAGGATTGCAACTGACATTTTTGGTTTAATCCTGACTAATTCTCAGGGCATGCTGTACTGTTATTCCGATGGGGGGAGAGGCTGGCTGGCTGGCTGTTTCTATTCTGACTGCTTTCCATGGGGCAGTCACATAGGCACTTTTTCTAGCCTTCTTGGATGTTGGCAAAGGCTAAAAGCAAGTCCCCGCACCCTTCTAAGGGAAATCAAGTTTGACATTTGACTGCCAAATTCAGGTCCCTGTAAAACAGGGAGTTTTGAAGGGGATCTTGGGGAATTGGACAAGTGCCAGGCATCAAAGACCGACCTTTAAAAAAATAATAATGGTTAATTCCACTTGACCTTCTGTTTTGTATTTTTGTCCATATTTTATTGGCATTGTATTTTAATATGTTTTAGTTGTTTTTTTATTGTTTTTTTATTGTGTTCTATCTTGTGACTGTGAGCCACCCAGAGGTGCTGTGGTACAATTGGTTGGCATGTAGTAAATGTAGTAAATAAAGTAAAATAATGCATTTCCTGATCTAGAATGACCAGTGGAATGTCTATAAGCTGGGAAAGTTACATCCCTGGCTTCTTGGTATACCTGCAGGCTGTGAATTAAACAACACAACCAGGAGATGTGTGTTGAAAGAGGATGAAGACTTATTGGAACACATTGTGTTTCTGCGAACGGTAAGCTGACTTTATGGTGGCCCTTCTTGCAAACTATTAGCTTGATCCTACACGGAAAAGCATTCCACTCTGTAGACCAGGACTTGGGAAGCAGTGGCTATGAGTGAAGCCCAACTTCCATTCAATGCAGCCAAGACAGTCAATGAGCAGAGACTCTAAACTTCTCTATAGAGAACTGACTGTGGTTACCAAATGGGAAAAGACAGACTGTATTTGCATGCCCAAGAGGCATTGTGCTTTTCAAGTAGCCTACCTAGCTAGCAAGAAAAACTTTGCAGCATCAATGTTGAAAACAGATCCTGGGAAAACACACGGTAGAAAACCTGAGTGAAACCTAGTTCCTCAAGAGCAGAGATGAAGACATTTCTGGATATTGTTGGACCCCAACTCCCATCAGCCTCAGCCAGCATGGTTGGTAGCCAGAGATGATGGCAATTGTGCTCCTACAACTGAAGGCCCTAAGTTCTCCCACCCCTGCCCTCTGATAATCAAAGCATACCTCCCATTGCATGATGAACTGAGATGATCAGAAAGAGATCCATGAGGTCTGTCTGGTATAACAGCAGATCTTGAAGTGCAGGTGTTCACTCCTGGGGAAAGTCCAGAAATCCAGGCAGCTATGTTGATCCAGACCAACAGACAAATTCTAGATGGTCTTTTTTAAAGCCAGTGGGACTTCGTTGCCCACCCAAACCAAGCTACTCCCAAATACTTGGCATTACAGCAAGGAACAATACAGTGCTGGGAAAATTAATTCCTTTCTACTCATTCGTAGCTAATGTGGAAACTCCAACTAAGCTCAGAGAGAACAGAGAGTGGTAGACGACACCAGTGTCCCTGCTGGGTCTCCAGTGCCAGGCCTGTGTGAGTCCTGATTCCACCATTACATTGATGGCTCCAACTTCCAACGTAGCTAAATTTGTGGAACAGTTTTGGTTGTTTACAGAATGGGCAAGTGACCCTTTCCCTTGTTACTCTTTCAGGTCTCCCTGGGTGAAGATGCAGATGATGTGCCCCATGTGGTTGCTGTGGAGTCCAGAAACATGGCCAGTATACTCAAGCCAATTCCAATTGTATCGCTGAAGCACTCGGCCTTACCAATGGTAACTCCACCACACTCCAGCAATTGAGAAATCTGAGATGCATGAGATTTCCATTTGATTTGTTTTTGACACAAACTGGCCCGACGTGTGCTTTGAAATGTGCATTGTGGGGGAAAGCCCACATGTTCATACTTCCCTCCATAAGAAGGATGCTACTTTTCCTATCTGTGGCAGAGCACCTCTTTGCAGACAGCAGATTTCAGGTGGATTTCGTGCCATCTCCTCCAGGTATGGCTTGAAAATTTCTTGCCTCATTACCAGGAAGACCATTGACAATACTGAGCTATCCTGACCAATGGCCTAACTCTGGCAGTAGCTCTCAGTGATCTTGCCCCAGGTCCTATTAGAAAGCCTTCTTCTGAAATCAGTCACTGACTCTCAGCCCAATCTACCTCACAGGATCGTGGTGAGGCTAAAATGGAGAAGAGGAGGGCTAGGTAAGTCACCTTGGGCATTTTGCAAAGAGGAAAAATAACGCTTTAGTTTTAAAATCAACGCTTATCAATTATTTGTGATAAATAATAAAAGGTAAGGTGGAAATATATTATGCGCACCAGTCAAGCATTTGCTGGGTTTGTTTTTCTGTTGCTCTACAGCAGCTGTAGTATATGCAGAAGAAAACACATTGTGAAATCTGTCAGCTTTTTGTTTGTTTTTTCAAACAGGTCAGTCTTGATGGCTTTGAATTTATCCCTCCTGTTTCCTTTATTTTAAACTCTGGAACTGGGCCAGTCTACCTCAATGGACAACACCTGATCTGTGAGTGAAATGCCAGACTCACTGGCATTTGGGTGCTTTGGACCTCTTGTCTTGCAAATGAATTTTTCATCTCATGTCTCTTGTAATAACTAATCAGAAGCTAAGAAATCGTTAAAAATAGCACCTCTGAAAGACAGACAGAAGCCTACAAATAAACACTTTTCCTAGGCATCTTCAGTCCATCTTCCAACAGTCTAACATAGGAGTAGGCAATTTGCAGCCCTCCAGATAATTTGGCCTACAATTCCCATCATCTCCCCCCTCCCCCCCCATTAGCTACATTGGGATGCCTGCTGGAAGCAGAAGACCAACAGGTACAGAGGGCTACAAATTACAGCCCTTGCTACAAGTGATGTCTTACTTTTCAACTGCCGGGAACAAAATCCTGCCAAACTCTGTTGACCAACAAAAACCCAGAAGCATCTAGCAGTGGCAAAGTTTATGAAAGAGGTTGAGAACAGCTGGCATGCCAATCCTGGGCATCTTTTTGTTTAAAAAAAAACACAAGAGTTCTGCCTTTGCAGTCATTGTGACATCAGGTCCTGCTCTCCCTTCCATTCTTCTCTTTCCCCCGCCCCCAATCCATCTTAACTGGCACAGAACTCTTGGCACAGTTGAGCACATTGGATGTGTTCATCGGGTGCCAGAACACCCCAAGTGCCTCCTTCTCTGTTTGTGCTCGTCTTCTTGCTCTTTGGGTGATAAACGAAAGGAGGAGATGTCCTTCCAAGGAACCCAGTTGTGCTGGTGGTGGTGGGTTTTCTATTTAATGCTGTCTTGCAACTCTCTCTTTCAAGTGGGAGAGGATTCCGACTACGAGCCCAGCGAAGGCGATGCTCCAGAGGACATGGACACTGGTGAAGGCAGTTATGAAGATGTGAGCGAAGCCAAGGCAGAAGCGCAAGCGGTAAGTCATCAAAACACGCATCTGTATGAATGCATGGCCATTCAGTGTGAAGCAGCATCCTTTGTGCAGGCCATGATACATAAGCGGGACCTGGAAATATCAACTGAAGAATGGTGTATACATTTATTAATTAAGTAGTGCTTGGACCTAGAATCTTTTCCCTGCCATCAAATTCCCACACAGCTCAAGTTTTACTATGGCATATGAGGGATTGAACGACTTCTGTTTTAATGGGACATTTGCAACTTGCCTCTTCATGATTCAGTTCCCAGTTCTTCCTTCAGTTCCTTTAGTGCAGCTTTTCCCAATCTGTAAGTTCAACTAGCCAGCTTGGAAAGATGGAAGAGGGACAGCCCAACACATCTGGAAAACATCAGGTTGGGGAAGGCCGCTTTTAGTGCAGGTAACAGGGTTTTTCTCTCCTCCTGTAATGTTTCCCATCTAGGGGCTTTTTGGTAGACAGTTCCATCAATTAAATCTCTCCCATCTGCATCTGAGAGGAAAGAACATTTAAGACAAGAGATGTATCACAATCATGACTGCTTCCAGAAGGGTAGCCGTTTCAGGCTGTTGCGGTGAACGTAGCAAAACATCTTGTGGTACAGCCCTACCAGGTTGCTTTTTTGTGAGGTGAAGTCTCTGAAGTGGAAGCTTTCAGCGCCCTCCCAAGCTGCTGCATTCACACAAGATAATTGATGGTGGTGACCATCGCCTCTCTCTTCTGTCTTTCTTTTAGACAGACCTTTGAGCCCATCTAGTGAAAGCAGGTTGCGGGGTGGGGCGGGGCTGTGGGGGGAGCCCACAGGATTCTCTGTATCCTACTTTCTCCACTCCCACCCTTTCGGAGCCCTCCAAAGCCACTGTTGCTTTCCATGGTGGCTCCAACAGGATGGAGAAGGGAAAGGATACCACAGCCCCCTTAGCAGACGCTGTAGCGGTGTCTATGGCCTTGGAGGTGGGTTGTCCAAAGAATCATGTGCTTCCTGAGATGCTCTCCTGGGACCAGATTCTGTGAGGATAAAATGCAAAATTGCACATGCTTGGGGTTTGCTCGTTTGTTTGAAATCAAGTTTGGCGACCAGTTCTGCTGCTGTTCTTGTGCCAGCACCAGCTGTACAGCGTGGAATAGCTGTCGGACTGGGGTCTTTGTCCTACACACAGCCTTCTGAAGGGAGTTCCATAAGGGTCTAGAATGGGGGTGCAGAACCTTAGGCCTGGGGGGCCATCCCTGCACCCCTATGTTCTCAAGCTGCCACCCTGGGCTTCTCCAGATGCCACACCCCCTCCCCTCCCCTCATCTACTCATTGTTTGGTGATTTCCCAGCTCTTGTGCACCCCATGGGCAAGCCAAGCCTAAAAGGTTGGCATGCCTCTCCTTTCTGACAAGAATAAACATCAAGCAAAAGTGTGCTTGCCTTTTTAGGATGTGTGTCGGCCCCACCCCTCCCTGGAAATCAGCTCCCCAAAGCTGCCCTGGAATGGCATTTGGGCTGGGTGAGGATTCTCACCCTGCTCTAAAATTGCCCAGGTACCGAATGGCGCCGTCATAGAGGGGGTTTCTCTTGGGGGAGTAACAGGTAGGTGCCTCAGTACTGTCAGGGAAGCAAATGCCCAGCTAGAAGAGAATGAATGCAAAATGTTCTGAACTGCTGGGGAACACACTGGCATTTGGTCTTTGTTTAGTCATTTGATTTATATCCTGCCTTTTTTTCTTCTGAAGAGCTCAGAGCAGCTTGCATCATTCTCCTCCTGCTGCTCCCCATTGTACCCCTCAACAACACCCCTGCGAGGTAGGCTGCGCTGAGCATCTGTGATTGGTGCAGAGACCCCCAGCTGGCTCCATGCCTGAGCCTTCACATCCTGCTCTCTCACCTGCCATGGGCCTGATTGTAACGCTCATGCTCAAGTGCTGATCCTCTTGGCTACCCCACGCCTTTCTTGGAGCTCCGCTCAGTGGCAGAGGGAGGTGGTATTTGGGCAGCATATTCCAATGGTGGAAAGCACTGAGGAGGTGCTGGTAGACAGACCAGGGCATGTCCCACATCTCCGGACTCTCTTGCTGCCCTTAGCTGCAGTCAGAACTGTCCCCTCACTAGGGGAGGAGGAGTATTCAGTAGCCAGACACGTGGGGCTTTGTAGTAGCCGGGGGAGTGGGTTGGCTCCCTCTAGTCCTTCTAAGCGTGGGGAGAAGCAGAGGCGCTGGCTGTGCAGCTAAAAAGGAAGGTGGAAAACATTAGAGGTTTTCAGGATGGCATTTTTGGTAAAGGAAGGGGACTCGTGCAATAATGAAGGAATGTTTGGGGTGGATGCAAAGAGAAGCAGAGGATGGGCGTTGGGGAAAGCAGAGTTGGTCACAGACAGGAAAGGGGGTGCCACCGTTCTAGCAAAACTGTTCTGGGCTGAAGACCTTCTCCTCTGACTACACTGGCTCTAGTGAGGCAGCAACAACTAGGTTAAAAAGAACAGAATTTTGTCAAAACATTGGAAGAAGGATGGGGAACAGGTGGCCCTTCAGATGTAGTGCTGGACTACAGCTCCCATCATTCCTCACTGCTGGTTATGCTGGCTACAGCTGATGAGAGTTGTAGGCCAAGAACATTGGAGGGTCATGTGTTCCCCAAAGCTGCACGATGGGGAGACAGAACTAAAACACTGAGTTGCCGTTTGCACCCAAAAAATGAGGGGGCAAGTTGGTTCCCTCGCATCTGCTTTAGTCAGAGTACAACATGGTCGAGGCCACGAGGAGCCCTTTCAAGGAGGAAAGTGGAATACAGAAGGAAAGGGCACGCCACAAGGTTACTTTTGTAGAGAGAATGAAGCCATGTTTTGGAGGACAAATTCAGCATTTTTCAGGGCAACCAGGTACAGTTTATATGCTGAAGATTTAATAATAGAAAACAAACGAACAAACAGATGATGCCAGGATACCTGAGTCCCGATGCCCCCTCACAACCGTGATTGGGGCACACCTGTAAAGCTTAAAGATGTCAACCTGTAAGGATGGACTCCCTCTAGGGATTGAGGGGAGCCACTCTGGCTACCCTAAAACCCTTCAGAAGCTGTACCCCACCTCCGCTGTACCCAGAAAAGTCTGCCACTGCTGAGTTCCCAGCAATTCTCCTGGGGAACAGGGTGCAAATACATGTGTGCCTTATTTCCAAACAGAATAAGGCCCCTAAGAGAATGCAAAACTGTTTTTGGTGGTAGTGGCAGCACAATCGGGCTGCGAAGCCACAGAACAGCCATGGCAGTCTGCACATGCAGCCCTGATTCAAATGTGGTTAATTGGAAAGTCAGTTGGTGACTAATTATTTATCCTGGCTTAAGTAAGCATACAAAAATCATCTTAGTGTTAAATGCCTTATCTGATAGTCCCTTCCATGACTGTGGCCTTGGATATGATTTAGCATTTTGCATGCGGTATCCAAGGACTGCCTTGGATCCCAACAATGGCATGGACCTCCATTCAGGTACAGCAGGGTGGAAAAACACCTTCCGCCCAAGGGCCAAATTCCATTTTGAAGAAGCTCTTGGGGGTGACAGCCAGTATAAACAATACCGAACCCCAGGTGGACCCAATGGTGTGAGTTGGAATAAAGGAGCTTTCAATATTCCTAACGTCAACCAGAATGCTAACCTTTATTTATGTATTATTTTAACCCACCCAATAACAAAGAGTTTTGGGCTATTTAAAGGGGTGGGGATGTTGATTGTTAGCTGCTTCAAACTGGAAGTGTTCATATTGTGACAGCTTCTTGCTTTAACATTGGCACTGATCCTCTGATGTTTTTGCTCTTAGGAAGAAACATCTAGTGAAAGATGATGTCCAGTTTCCTTGTTGTAGCAAGAATCATATGGAGGACGTCTGTTTGAAAAACAACTTTAAATAACTCCATATGTTACCAATGGATTGTGCTCCTAGGGAATTATGCTACCAATGCCTGATTAAAGATTTGTTGCAGGAAAAAAACCCAGCTGCTTCTCTTCTGTTCTCTGCCAATTCTAACCTTGGAATTGTTGCAAATTTCCAAAAAGATACACTTGAATAGTATTATCGTGTGACTAGGAAGTTTAGTTTCTATCAGAGGTGAATAGACACCATTCTGGGGTGGTGGGGAGGAAAGCAACGATCTCCACCCATGATGTTTAGTTAGCTTTTCTTAGCACGTACTGTCAAATTGGTTAGCTTCATGCTTAAATACAGCTGATCTCTTTCCTTGGAGCAAATCCCATATGTTGGTAGGACACCTGGAGCACTAACTTGTTTGCTAGTTGCCCTCAGTGAGTATCCAGGGCAGAATGCGTTCCAATGGAGCAAAGCTCAGGGAACCAAGATTTAGGGTGGAGGCCAGGAAGTACTTCCTGACAGTTAGGACCCCGAGGGTATGGAATGGGCTTCCACGAGAGGTGATTGAAGCCCCAGTGGTGAGAGTATTTAAGGATAGGCTGGACATGCACATGGTAGGCATGTCATGAGCAGAGCCGGCTGGAGCCAGCGGTCAGACTAGATGGCCCAAGAAGGCCCTTCTGACTCACTCTGTTTCTATGTTCTGCATTGCCATAGTGCAAGAGAACAGTTCCTTTGCCCAAAGAGACATTCAGTTTACAGTCTAACCTGGGAGAAGAATTGAAGGGAAGGGAAATGGAGACAGGAGTGCACAGGGGAAGAATATGAAATTAGTTATGTGTACCTAGCCTTGTTTACACTGAGATCCTGATTTCCTTCCCCTGTCTCTCTAAAGCTCTCTGTAATTATTTGTGGTATCAGCTCCTAATATTTCCCTAACTGATTGTGGAAAATGCCTCGCTTGTTGAATTTAGCATTAATAAGTGATAGCAGCTAATAGTCATAGAAAGAGATGCCATCCCTGCCTCTAAAACCTTTTTGTAGCCAGTCACATCCTGGGGCAGTCAAGTCTATAAATGACTCACGTTGCTACTGTATCAATCTGGCACCTTCCAAATATGTTGGACTACAATCCCCATCATCCTGAGGCAGCATGACTGGCTTGGCATGATAGCACTTGCAGTCCCATGCAATAGGAAGATATACTTTAATATTTCCTGAAGCTGCAGCTCATCTATTTCAATAGGTGATCAGGAATTGTCAGGAAAAGGAGAAAAGTATTTTGGACCAGATTTCTCCATGCCATGAATCATTGCATAAAACTTGGCTCTCTCTTTCTCAGTGTGTGTGTACATGAATGTGTCTCTATTTAGATGGAGGAGTGGAAAGGTGCACATTTTGTGGGCAAACGAATGGTGCCACCAGATGGGCTCCTTTCCATCAATGGCCTTACTTCGGAATGTTTGGATGCAAATATGTACAATAGCCCAGGAAACCATTGTCTTCAGCATTCCATGAGATGAAACATTGGTATAGGTGCTTCTGAAGTGCTCTAAGTAGGGCTTCGGAGGCCAGTCTTTGAGCAGAAGAAACATCCATGTGAAAACTTGCTTAGTCTTTGGACTATGGAGAGACTTTCGGTCTTCCTTGATGTTCCTCTAGCTAAAACAACAGGCGTTCCAATGGATGCCTACAGGGATGATCCTTCACCCCAAAAAGTGTGCCTCGGCCATGCAGGTAAATCTCCTGGACAAGTGTTTATCTCTAAACCATACTGTTCGTCTACCTGCTGGTTTGTGTCTGTTCAGAGTGCATAATCTCCATCCTACATTATTACAAAGCATCAGCAGATGTTCTCCATTAACACCTAACTGTAGATGCACCATGGAACTGACCTTTTGCTGCTGCCTCTGCTAACAGAGATGTGTAAACTCGATGTCTTAATGGAAGGTCTGAGGTATGACCTCAGTACATGTGCGCTTACATTGATCAGTCAATAGAAGCTGGCTATGGCCCAGTAGCAGAAAGCATGCTCTGCAAAGACAAGATCTCATGGGCTTAGTCTTGGACATCTCCAGTAGGACTGGTACCATGTGATAGGAAAGGGATCTACCTAAGGCTGGAAAACCACCAGCAATACTGAAGCAAATGGGCAAATGCTCTGAGCTGATATAGGGAAATGCCCTATATTGCCTTATCCTGGATTATCATTCTGCACTAGATGAACCCAAATTCATTAGTGAGATAAGCTCATAGAGAAGGTGGGGGTTGGAGGGAGGGATTGGAAGGAAAGAAGAGCACGTGTCGCAGAAGTGTCCTGGGTGGTTCCAGAGCACACCTTTCAGGAAGGGAGACAGTGGAGGGAGGTGGAGCTGGAGGAAAAGTGATGGTTCAGGATGCCAAAACCACAAAAAATATGGGAACAAGGCTGGTTTGAGGAGCTTATAATGAACCAGGGAGAGATTTAAGGAGAGGCATCACATGATCCAAGCAAGAAGATATGCAAACAATTTTGTCATCGGCGTACTGCATAGACATCAGAGGACCAAGGTAAGACAATAGAAAATCTGAAGTCACAGAGGCCTGTTCAAAACATGACTAGGGTGTATTCTAGAAGTTTTGCCATGGGTACAAAGAGAGCAGCTATTAAGAAAAAGACTAAGCAATCTAGAATTCCAATATTTCAGGGAGAAATTCAGTTCTGAGGCATCCCTAGAGTAGCCCTTCGCATGGGAATGAACATGGGATCAGCCCACAAGAATTTCCATTTTCATCACTGAAATCTTAGCTGCTGTGTTTCAGTCTGAACCATGCACTCTTCCTAGGCTGCCAGACTGATTGTGCAGAAACAGTCTGGATACCTCCAGTTGTGCAACGAATTCTGCTTCAAATCCCCCAAGACCCAACACTGGATCATGAATACCTCCCAGAGCTTGGCATTGTGGAATTCACCAGAGCAGCCATGGAGCTCATCATTGGCAAGGACAGTCGCGCACTCTTAGACAACAGGGTATGGCTTTTAGATGCACTAATGCCCAAATTAAATGCATCTCAGAGCTAAAAGACGGACAATGAATAGTGCAACTATATATAACTCTTAGACTGTAACCCCCACAGAGCTCAACGCCTAGGGAGAAAGTCCCAATCAATGGCACTTGTTTCTGATTAGACATGTGCATTCAGACATAACATCTCTCTCCTTAACTCTGCTTATCTGGACTTCATGTTCCTGGTTGACCGAACCTGCTTACATTTTGTTTGTTTGTTTTCTGCCCAGATTTTTGATGAAAAAGATCTGCAAGGTGGCAGAGGCAAAGGAATAATAAGAGCATGGGACTGGGACTCAGGCGACCTGGGTTCTAGTCCCCGCTCAGCCATGGAGCCAACTGGGTGACCTTGGGCCAGTCACAGACTCTCAGCCCAACCTACCTCACAGGGTTGCTGTTGTGGGGATAAGATGGCAGAGGAGATGTAAGCTGCCTTGAGCCCTTTGTAGGAAAAAGGCAGGATATAAATTGAAAAAAAATAAATTATGAGAGGGCTTCTCCCTCTCCCCATGGCAATGTAATATTCTTCTGGACTGGCCGGTCCTCCTCAGTCCCTCATTAGAGCGAGGGTGGGCAACCTGTGTCCCTAGGATGCCATGCAGCATTCAGCCCTATTTCATGCCACTCACCACTTACTTTCACGGCCCCTCTGCAAATGGTCAGTTCAGGCCTCTGGCAAGAATGATGTCCGCAGTTTGCTGGGTTGGGAGGGGAGAAGAGGAGAGAGAGTTAAAGGGGTCTCAGAAAGAAGCACTCATGGGATTTTCAGCCTTCTGAGCCAAAATAACTTTTCTGCATTGAGTACTATGACCCTTGATTTTGCTTGGTACCATTTGCTGTTCTGCCACAGGCAACAACATGTCTTGGTTTAGCTCTGGCGATCCAAATTACAATTGTCTGGCCCAGTTGAATTACCAGTGATACATATTCTTATGCTCATGCTCATTGTCTCTCTCTCTCTCACACACACAAATCTACTTAGGGCAAGCTGTTTTGTATTTCTGGAAGTTTAATTAACAGTGTTCTCTCTTTTCTCTGTAAACAGGCAGGAGGTGTTCACACCATAGGGGGAACAGGCGCAGTATGGATTGGAGCTGAATTTCTGCGCCGTTGGTACAAACCCAGTAGTTCGACTCCAGCAACTATTTATATTGCTGAACCACAAATGGGTAAATGCTTTCCCCCCATCCTCCCATCAATTCGTTTTTGATCTATTTCTATGGTTGAAACCACAAGTGCTGGGAAATGGTGCTGGCAGGGGTCAGACAAAATCAGCTGCGTGCACTGGAAGGGTTCATAGGGTGGGAAGGTCCGAAGACTGGGGGTGGGCAACAATTCTCCCCCAGGCACCAACCCTGTGGTCTGCACTCTGAAGCAACAGCGCATGCACATGCCTAACTACCACTGGGTTTACAAGCTGAATTATTTTCAAGCTAAATTCTGTGTAAATTTGTCCCAGTAACCCTTAACCGTCGTTACTCTGGGGGACCAATTGCCATTTCCCCCTTCCTTTGGAGCAACTGGCTGTGGGATCACATTCACAGCAGGGGCTGCCCGTGGCCCATGTTGTCTATTCCAGGTCTGCACCCCGATCACAGAGCATACCTGGAAGGAGTCTGTGAATGTACATCAATTTCTGGCAGTCATTTGGTGAGGGTACCTGTGCTCTTTCCTCAATATTTGAAACGTGCTTCCTGACCCAAAATGGTCAATGTCTACATTGGCCCAGCTGTCCCAGTATTGCCTAGTCTGGCAGGCTGCAGATTTCCATGGACTCCAGCAGAGGTCATTTCATAGGCGCTTGGAGACCTTCTTCATGCCATGCATGTACTTGCCATGGTTTGATGAGCTGTACCCCATTTCTTACCCATGATTATAAACCTTGGAAAAAATGGTAGCACATATAGCTTTACCCATTTTTCCTGTTCTTTCAGACACTGTTGGTTCCATCTTCAAACAAGTTGGATTTACCAACATCTGTCTGTACCATTTATGGGATCCCATCCAATTGATGGTCGACATCAAAGTGTTCCTGAAGGAACTGCAGGTATGGGCATAAGAACATAAAGACTTCCCTGCTTGAGTTGACCAATTGTCCACCTTGGTTCTCGACAATTGGACGTGAAGCCCAAGGACAAATCCTCTGCTTACCTATGACTTGACAGGCAGTCACTCATTCTTTCTCACTGAAGCTTACTTTAAACTCTGAGGAGGAAGGCTGGGATGATATTGCATCATTGAAACTGTCTTATACCAGTCCAGACCATGGGTAATATCTGATGTTGTGGTATTATGTGGAGCCATTGAAATCAATGAGACTTAAGTCCTATTTGTTGCCATGACTCTACTCTATGAAAGTCTAACACTAGCATCATTGAAACTGTCTTATACCAGTCCAGACCATGGGTAATATCTGATGTTGTGGTATTATGTGGAGCCATTGAAATCAATGAGACTTAAGTCCTATTTGTTGCCATGACTCTACTCTATGAAAGTCTAACACAGGATACAACAATGTGTGTCTACCTCACTCAGTCATATTCACTCTGGTAGGTAGCATTTCTCCAGAGTCTCAGGCCCAGGACTTCCTCATTGTCTCCTACCTGCTTCTGCCAGAAGATGATGCCAGGAATGGACCAGGTAGTTATCCACAGGCCAAGAATGTGTTCTACCATGGAGAGATGGTTCTCACTCCCATATTTGAGGGAAATCAGTGCAACTGGAGATCAACCAAACCTGAAAACCTCATTCCTAGGAAGTATGTCAGCTACGGATGGATCATAAATGGTTTTGGCCATCCCCGGTTTTCTGGGAGAGTTAGAGCTCAATGGCAGAGCCATGCTTTTCATGCAGCTGGTCCTGGGTTCAATCGTCAGCTTCTAGAGGTAGGCCCAGGAGACTTCTGCCTGGAAACTCTGGAACTGGAACTGCCAGTCAGTGCCAACAATGCTGAGCCAGCTGGACTTGAAGCAGTCTTGGCACATTATGTCCTTAGGCACTCCGGGGTGCTCTTGAAAAGGTGGGTCTGCAGCAGGAGCCATCTTGCCTCTAGGGTGTTCCTCTTTCTCTGAGTTCTATCTAGGAGGCTGCCTGACAAGACTTGTGGGAGCTGCAGCTTTTGTCCTGCTGACACAAGGTGACTTGATGACCTGGTTTGCTTGCAGGATGCACCAGAAGGCTCTGTCGTGTTCCTCCATGCTCCTGAAGAAGCTGGCCTGACAACCGGGCAGTGGGAAGAAGTTGCAGCAGCGATGAAGGTAACAAGAGATCCCCTTGTCTCCTCCTCCTCCTCCTCCTCCTAGAGCAGGGGTGCAAGTGTCGGAGCGCCCCCTTCTGCCAGTCCACTTAGTTTCGGGGCTTGGAGAGGAGGTGGGATGGCACCCTCCGTCCTTCCTTCCACCAAACTGCTCCCTCAGTTGCGTGGAATTCCATTCATTTGCCTACATGCACCTCCTTATTCCCTATGGCAACCAGGCTGAGCTTCAATCAGGGGTGGGGTGCCTGTCTCCATCAGCTTCAGGCAATATGACGAATGCCCAGAGGAGATGACAGCTGCAGTCCAACAACAGCTGGGGGGCTCAGAGTCCCTCTTCCTGGCTTGATTGCAGGCAAAATTATAGGGGAGGAACTGAAGAAGCACCTGGAGCTGGGGCTGGGAACACCTGGCACCGGATCTGTTTGAGCCCCACGTGGCCTCAAAACTTCATGCAGCCACTCGTGCTGCCCCCACCCCATGTGCTGCCTAATACAGTGATGTCGCAACAAAGAGACTTGTGGCTTGCTGCCAGAATTTGTGGGATCTCATCAGTGCAAAATGCATTTTATTTGCCCCTTTGGTATCTCCACCTCAGCTTGCCCAACCTAGCAGTAGAGTCATTCACAATATTGCATCGCCCTGCTTCACAGCCATGCACTTGCTACTTTCTTTTGCTCCTCCCCTCCACCGCGTCTCCAGACAAGGCATCTCTTCCCCTTTTTCGACATCCCAGCTCAAGGACTAGCTTCAGGAAACCTGGACAGAGATGCCTGGGCGCTGCGGCACTTTGTGGAAAGAGGTTTTGAGCTTCTGTGTGCCCAGTCCTTTTCCAAAATATTTGGCTTATATGGTAAGTCAACCTTCTCCATTGGCCACACTCTGTGGGGCTTAGACAAAGCAAGTTTCATCTGGGAGATTCACAAGAAACCCCTCAAAGCACGTACGGGGGGGGGGGATGCACTAGCTGGCCACATCGCTGTCACTAATGCATGTACCAGCCAGGTGCTATTCCAGCAGCAAAAATGTCAGCCCTGTGAAAAGGGCCCTGTCTCCTGCACATTTCCACTGAATGCACAACTGGTGCGGGAGGCATAGCCCACCTAGGAGTTGTCAGAAGGGTAGCTTGTGTAGACCTTTCATACATGCTTTCAGGACATGAACAGGGCATGCCCTTTCCTGAGAATAAGGGCACTGGAGAAATTCAGAAACAGCAGGATTCCAGGACAGAAAAAGAATGTAAGAAGAACCTTGCTGGACCAGAGAAGAGGGCTATCTAAGGGAGCACGCTTTTTCTCACAATGGCCAACCAGATGCTCCACCCTTGAACCACAGCCCATCCCCTAATCCCTCTTTTGAAAGCCTTGATGAGCTCAAAAACCATCACCCAACAGGCAGCACCTCCCCAGTGGGTCAGGCAGCAGCTTTTCCTCTCACCTGTCACCACATCTGCTTGATATATGAGGGCATGCATGAAACCTGGGACCTGCTGTGCACGGGACATGTCTCATGTGTGATGGTTCTTCCTGCCAAAATGCCTACTGACAATTGCACATCACTGTGAACCGAGTGCACCATTGTCTTAAGCAAAGGAGGAGTGCTCTGGCGGGAAAAGCAGAAAGTCCCTGCCACATGCTAAGATGGTACTGTACCCACGTTCAAACACTAGAGGTCCCAGAAGACAAGAGAAAAGGAATTTCAAAAGGAGGCAGAAAGAAATGAGTGGAACATTAAACTCTTCCTCTTCCTCCTCTTTTTTGGGAGTATTCCCAGGCTTTCCCTTGCTACACCAATGCTAAGTTCATATACCGTTCTCCAGTTCCCACTGAGCTGAAATGCTTTGGCTCAATTCTCCATATCACCAGCAAGGCTGGGGAGCTGTCCAGCGCTGCCAGAATGAGTTTGAAGGAAAGCACACAGAATCAGCAGGGGAGCTATCCAGCCAGGCCTCCAGTAAGGAGTCGGGCATAAAGTTGCAGCCGCACCTGTCAAGCAAGTGTTGGCTGTTTGGAAAGGAGACCCACTCCTTGGAGCTTCCCCAGGGGTCTAATTCAGAGTACCTATTGCTGTCCTGTCAGCTCAGACATGATCTAGAGATGCATGCACCCAGCCTCCTGCTTCAGGCCTCTATTTCTGGGGGTGCTGCTGGTGATGGCACAGGGCCACAGGTGGGGTGTGCATCTGGCCATACAGCACTGGGTCCGTTGCCTCAGACAGTGGTACAGTCCTCCTTCTCTAATCTCACTGTGTCGCATTGGATGATTGCACTCCAAACTGGTAGCGTTCATAGAGAAAATATGATGTACTTTCATGCAGCTCTTTATCAAACCTCCTCTGACCCCAATCCAGAATGTTGGCAAGAATGATCTTTACTCCCACAGCTTCTCTCTTGGTGAGGGGGAAAAGAAAGAGAATGAAAGAGAAGGAAGTGGCGGAAGAGGAGGGAGGGGAGAGATTGGAAGCAACCTAACAAATTGCACTCAGAGAAAATTTGAAACTCAGCAATGGAAAGGAAATCCCTCTCATTAACTGGCAGTTCCCTGAGACCCATTGTGTGGGGCAGGGTTGATTGTATAAGCATGTTACTGATCTAGGTAGAAATAATAGTGTGATGCCCCATCTTTGTCTCACCTTTGCATGCAGACGAGCGGGTGGGGAACCTCATCGTGGTGACCAAGGACAATGAGACACTGCTCAGAATCCACTCCCAGATTGCCAAGCAAATCATGATGACATGGTCTGGCCCCACCAGCTTGGGGGGACGGGTCATTGCGATGGTGCTAACCAGCCCTGCCCTCCTCTATGAATGGTAAGAAGCAACACAGGCAGCTCCCATCTATAATAATGAAGTGTGCCGCAGTAATTTACAAAATTCCAACCTGTTTACACTGGCTGAGACAAAACAACAAACCAGAGAAGGGCATTCCTCAAACCGATATGCTGCAGCCATTAGCAATATTTCTAAATGAAGTATGAACAGGGACTCTTGACAGAGATGGTCAAAGCTTGAGGTGACCAGGAATAGATTTTTGTCTGGAATGATAGTGAGCTCAGTTCAGTTCTATTAATCAGAATGAATTCCTAGGCTCAGAATTATTTCATTATAAGTGTGTGTCATTTGCATCAAATTCTGGTTGGTGAATCTTGGGGTTTATTCCAGGAAGAAGAGCAGAATTAGTATATCCTGTGATCCTGAAGTCTGCCTGCTTGTGTCTCAGGGGATGTATGCATGCATCAGAGTGGGCAGAGAAGGGGACATACTAATTTCCTTAAGCTCCCCCCCCCACAAAAAAAAAAAAAAAAACTATGGCTCTCTCAGCTGGATTCAGCTAAGTCCAAAGCAGTCTCTATGAGAACCATAACCTAGAAAATTCCATTTTCTTCAGGAAACAGAGCCTCCAGACCCTGGTAAAAAGAATTATGCTGATTCGAGAGAAACTGAAAGAGAAGCTGCGGATCTTGGGGACCCCAGGCTCATGGGAACATATTACAGAGCAGTCAGGAGTATATAGTTTCACTGGGCTCCTCCGTAAGTATCCAAGAAGCTGATTCTGTTACTATTCCCAGAGCAGGCTTCCAGGAACCAAAGAAGAACCCTGCTCAGTCAGGGCTGTGCCTCTCTCATCCAGTTCTGTTCACGGCATGGCTATCCGACTGCCTGTGGAGAGCCATCCTAGGCCCTGAGGCCATATCCTGCCAGCTCTGTGGACCTTTTCAGTCCCTTCTTTGTTTTGTGAGCTGCCATCCAGGTGCCCGATAAAGCAATCATGGGACTGCTGTTCAGGGGCCTCCATCTTGCCTGCCTACTTAGAAATTAGAAACTTCAGAAATTAAGTATTAATAATAGATGGAGTAGAGCCAAGCTCCTCATTCTGATGTTGGGTGAGGACAGAAAGCATATTCTTTTGAGAGGATCTGACTGCAGGAGGTGGGTCAAATTTTCATAGGGGAAAATTCCACAGGGGGTGGGCAGAATTTCCAAGCTTGTAGGTGTAGCCCTAAAACTTACAGATATTTCAGTTAATCTTCATATTGCTTTTATTCTATTTTAAAATTTGTTTTACTGTTTTGTATTTTAGAGTTTTGACTCTTGTGAATAAATGCATATGCTTAAAAAACATTCTTAATGAATGTACACCATTATGGCAGTGTTCACTAAAGAATGGTTTATAAAAACTTTTAATAAAATTAAAATTAAAAGATTGTTCTCATTTTGCATGTTCATGCCACCCTTTTGCTTCCACTAAAGGAACCCAAAGTGGCTCACAAAGTCCACTTTTTCCCTATTTTATCCTCAAAACTATCCTGTGAAGTAGGCTAGGCTGAGCCAAAGTCACCTAGTGATCTTTGTGGCTGGGTGGGGAATAAAACCCTGGTCTTCTGAATCCTAGCCCAACACTCCAACCAGGTGAATACTGTTATTCTTTCCATGCCAGCTTCCCAAGTGGAGTACCTAGCGAGGCACAAACACATCTACCTCTTTCCGAACGGGCAGATCAACATCTGCAGCATTAACTCCAGGAACCTGGAATACGTGGCTCAAAGCATCCATGAAGCCGTGGTGGCCACCACTCTCCAGGACTGCAGTCACACCAGGAAGAATGTTGACTAAGGAAAGCCCTGCCAGGAATCACGTGGATGGAGCCAATCTGAGTGTTTCTTAAAAACTGTAGCGGTAGTAAAATTGTGTTTCGGAAATCCTCTCTCAGATCAGATTGAATTCATTTCTTTGGACCACAAGTCCAAACTAAACGCATAATCTATTCCTCAGGATTTCAAGGGTTGGATCCA